GGTCATGACCGGTCATAATCGGTTAATGACCGTGACCGTTGCCATCCCTACACGGGATAGTACTATTTAAGGTCTATTTATGGTTAAACCCGGATAATTTTTATCCGGAAGACTCTATGGGAAAAAAGTTATCTCCAAAATAAAAAGTATAATGCTTGTAAATAATTTTTTTTTAAAAAAAAAAAAGTAAGGGATGGCCAGAAATGACGTCATTTCCTAAGGGTTAAGACCATGATGATGTTACACACCTTCCATTTTTAGACACTTGTAGTTAATATAATTCTAGTCAGAATTGTGTTTTAATTTTACATTTCCTAAAATGAATGATGACATAGGGTCAAAAATCCTAAAATTTAAATTACGTCATTTCTGGTCATCCCCTAATTGTAAATGTCACTTACTATAAAAAATGGTTAAGGACGGAATCAAAAAGTAATTACTAATTAGCTATTAATTAGTTAGAATTTTTCTTTAAAATGAGTGATATATACCTTGTGATTTTTAAATATATCTATTATAAAAAATATGCTAAATAGAATTAAGTAAAACTACACCTTCAGCAATATAATAAAATAAAGAACTAATATATAAGATATCCACATGGTTATCGAAGATGCATTCGATAGAAAGAATTTAAAAAAAATCTAATTCTATTCGTTCGTGAATATTTTCAGATACATGATGACGTGTAATCAAAATTATTTGAAAAAAAGAAATTATAAATATGGATATGGATTCCATAAGCATTACCAAATTATAATTACGACATTATGATTATTTAACATATTATCGTTATGGTATAAGTTTCATATGCCAAGGAAAAGAAAGAAAGAAGAGTGAAAAAAATGTTTAAAAAAGTTTAAAAAGTAAAGGCTAATCGAACTGCGGTTGATCTAAATTTCTTGCTTAATTTTCGTTATATTGCCTATAATTTTACTGATAATAGAATGTATTAATTTTTTATTGCTTACAATCTTCAGTTTACTGATAATAGCTATAATTGATATTTAGATCTAATTTCACGAATTTTTAACAGTTCAAAAAAAAAAACTATTTTAATACAGTTGTATACTCGCACATACAATTCACAAATGTCTCAGATTAATTTGCTCTGATTGGTTTGACGTCATTTGCTATCTTTTAAAGATTATTATTCCAGTAATAAGCATGTGACTATTAGGTTGCAGAAATCACTTTCTTTGTTTATTTAATCTTCCTTTTAAAATAATGATGATGATAATAACGTAGCAAGAAGTAAATTTGTATTTTCTGACTTGTTCTTGATAAATAACAACAGAATATTATTTTATTTACTTTTGTTGACATCAATAAATAATTTATACACATTTCAGTCATTTCACACAAAAAAAGCAGAATCAATACAATTTATTTAATTACAAAAATAATTTTTTCTAAATTATAAAATACATTGGTCTATAATGAAAATATAGTTTAGATACATTTTTTTCTATCAATGGAACTTGGCCTTTTGATGCTTTATGTAATGTGAAGCAACAGTAAATTTATATATTTTGATTATAACCTAGTCTATTACTTGCGTTCAGTAAAAAAAAATGTTCGACAACTCATTCATTATAATTTTTTTTTAATAGAATATAAATAAATGATGTGATTTATTAGATGTTGTTGCATGGAATCAGTATGTGTATATAGTTTTTATGAAAATAAGAAAAAGTGTACAGATATTGGCAAGAAATTGGCATATATCATATAATCAATTTGAAATGTAAGTTATATACCTCATATACAGTGGTCGAAAAAAGTCCTCGGAATTACAAAAAAATGCAAAAAATGAGCAACCAGTGATCAGAATTGCTTAAAATTTTGCAGATTTATTACCAAATGTGTGAATATTATGCATACAAAATTTCAGCTGTTTATCTTGCTTTTTTGTCTCGCAATCGTTTTTTTAAGTTCAAAAAAATAAGTCATCAAAAATTTAACCTACAAAAAATCTGAAATTCTGATATAATATTCAAATTGAAGTTTATTAAAAATTGAACAGTTATAAATCATAGTTTATGGTATGATAATTTTAACAAAAAAAATTTGGCCCTTTATTATTTGTTAGTTGTTGAGAAAATTGGAATCAAATTTTATCCACCACAATTGATCGCAACTGTTTTCTACCCTTAAAATCAATTGAAAGAACTAAAATTCATAATCAAAGTTAAACTATAATAATTATAAAAAAATTATTGTAAAAACTATTTAATAATAGATTAATATTATTCAAATATACAAAAAAATTATCAATACAAATAATTTTAATGTACTATGATTTTACTATTTTAATTTTAATGACTTTAATGCTTTTGAGCCAATTTTTAATCTCACTTTACAGAAAACTGACTGATTAAACTATAATCAAATTTTTTTAATAAACTAATTAGAAATATATTTTTTTACGTTTATAATTTTTTATTATAAGTATACAAGCTGATTTTTAGTAACTGAACGCAAAATGTTAATCATTTCAAGTTATCGTATTGCTTAAATTTTTAATGATTTTTTTTTGAACTTAAAAAACCGATTGTGAGACAAGGAAATAAGATAAATGGCTGAAATTTTGTATGCATAATATTCACACATTTGGTAATAAATCTGCAAAATTTGAAGCAATTCTGATCACTGGTTGCTTAATTTTTGCATTTTTTGTAATTCTGAGGACTTTTTTTGACCACTGTATATATATATATAATTAGATTGTAACTAATCTGGTTTAATCTGATTCAGTTTTATTATTAATTATGATTTAATGTTAGTAATAAATTTATTTAGTAATCAAACTATTACGAAATCATTAATAGTTCGTATATTTATGATCAGTGATATATAACATATATTATTATTAAGGATCAACAATTAAATTTTACAATAACTTCAATTTTTTTTTTAAAAAAAAATAATTACTTTTTTTTAATATAATAAAAAATAAATAAATATAATGTTTATTACATATAAGATATAAAAAATACGAGATAATAAAAATGAATTTTAAAAACAGTTCGTATTTGTCAGGTGATCTATGACATGCGTAATACGATCAGCAATTAAATTTTACGTTGATTTCGTTGACTTCAAATTTTTTTTTTGAATTATTGAATTAATTATACTTTGATATAAAAATAAAATAAATGCAACTTTTTTTATTTCATTTATTTCATTAAAAAATAAATAAAGTACTTATTACATATAAAATATAAAGAACGGATAATAAAAAAAATTAAAGAAAAGATTATTACTGGGTTACGTTAGTTCATAAATATTATTTAGTTTTTTGTTTTTTTCTACCTCTTGTTGAATTTGAAATTTTTGGGTATTATTTTTTTTTTTAATATTTTCGTTTCTCTCTTCATTTTCTTCAATATTTTCATTTCTTTCTTCATTTTCTTCAATATTTTCATTAATTCTTTCTTCATTTTCTTCATTT